TAGTAAAAAAGTTAAAAATAAATATTTTTTATCTAAATAAAACTATAGTTTTATACTTTCGAGAACAAAAGTTTAAAAGAAAAAAAAATAATATTATAGATTCTTGTCTAGTATATCTTATTAAAAATAGATATATAAAATAGAATATTATAGAATAACAAAATCTGAAATCAACTATAGGATTATTAAAGAATAACTATAATAAGTATCTAATATAATAATAAAAAAAGAGTCAATACCGGCTTAAGTTATATAATATCTACTCCGGAATTTATTCCAGAGAGAGTATACCGGGAATATACAGTACTATATATTATAATTAAATATATTTTATTATTTACCTTTAAAAGAGTTACAGTAGGAGTAGCCAGCTATAGGATATATAAAGATACTTGTTTATATACTTAGTTTAGTTTTTTATAATTAATCTATATTATTATTACAGAGTTATTTTTAGTAGTAAGACTAGTCTTAATTTATTTATACTCTCTAAATTATTAAGTATATATATTTAATAGGTCTGGCTCTTTGAACTCAAGTCTAGTATTGATAATAATTTTGTGTTGACTATACTCTGATCCGACTTTAATATAGTACTGACAGTAGTTTTCTATTACTTTTGTTCTTCTAAAACTATTACTTCCCGATAACAGAAGTTACGAATGACTTCAGATTAGTAATCCCCTATATATAATCTGTTAACTGGTCTCAGACTTGACAACGAAGCCCCGGGTGTAACAAATATTAATTAATAGTAATAAAGTCTACTTTATATCTATCTATTTTATAGAAAGAGTATTTAATTAGTTTAAATTTTTTATTAAAAAATATTATAAAAAGCCAGAGAAAAACTAGAGTAAAGAAATAAAAAAGATTTTTATATTTTTTAAAATATTTAAGAAATATTTTAAATAGACTTTCAGAGATATTAATACTACTTGAAATATAAAATAAGATCTGTAATAATTATAATATATAGAATCTATTAGTAAATTAATATCTAATTTTATATAAATTATTATTTATCTGAACTAGAATAAGAATATTTATATTATAAAATTTAAAGAAATATTAAAACTAGAGATTCAGAAAAAGCTTATCTAAATAAAAAAACTAGATATACTTTATAATATAATTAAATAAATAGTTAAGATTGATAATAAATTATATAACTTTAATTAGTAAAAGAAAGATTATAGTAACTATAATATACTAAGAAATAATTATATCAGATAATATAGTATAAATAAGAAATAGTATATATAACTATAAAATTAAGAATATTAAAACTCTTATAGTCTATAACTAATAGAGCTTAATATAAATAAAAAATAGAATTAATATACTAGTATTTCTCAGCAGAAATATAATTAATAAATAAAAGAAAAACTATACTATAACTATAGTAAGTCAAAATATATATCAAGAGATTATTAATAGAAAAGAAATAATTATTATAAATCTCAGTAACTCAATCATTATATACAGTCCTAACTTTTCTATAATTAAATTACTGCGGTTTTATCTAGTTCTGCAATTCTCTAAATAAGATAAATAGATCTAATTCTATAATATATATTAGCTGAATTAATTATTTAAAGTTATAATTAAATATCTAATATATATAGAAAAGTTTATAACTTTTTTTTAAATACATATATAATTTTTATTCTATCTTAATCTATGCTTTACTATATTTATTCTATTAGAAAGAGAAGATTTTGCTAATATTATATAAAAATAGTCCCCCGCGGGCGACTGCCAAGGTAGTTCCGGGAGACCATAGTACAGTCCTAGACCTATAAAAAAAAGACCAAGGACCGGCGGTCCCGGTCCCGGTCCCTAAAGTTGGGACCGAGACCGGACCATTCCTAGGCCTAATCTTAGCCAAACATGACGGTGGTCCATGCCATCCTGGCTAGAATTATGGATTGTGTGACCTGCCTCGGATAACAAATTAAGCGCACAAGTCATAATGCTTCATTCTTTATTTCCAGTTGACTATTTTTCTCGCCTCTGTAAACAGTACAAAACCGCTGGCGCAACCGAACAGCAACATTGGTGACGCTTCAGCACATTCCGGTTACGTCTTTGATACCGACGCAGTCCTGAAAGATCTAGGGGCAGTCTGATGACTTGTCCGCGTACCGAATTACTTCAAGACTAAAAAGTATTATGTGCAATGTTCGTCCGTCTCTATCCCAATATCCAAGCATCCGTAAAACTCACTGACGCGATCACTTGGAGCGAAACAATGACCCACCAGGTCGGAAGCTTTCCTGACGTTGCCCTGACACTCGTTGACGTTTGGGAAACCATGGCTCTCTTCAAGTCCTCTCTCACCGATTGGACAACCATTAACCCCGCGAGCATATGCTCATGGTCGGCACGTACAAGGCCCTCGTAACCTTGAGCTCATACTATGGTCCGACAGACGATGATTTTGATACAAGTCATAAGGTATCCAAGCGTAGAATGCCCTCTTTTCCTTGGCGGTTGAAGGAAGTATACAGTGAGCCCCAGACTGTAGTATTCAAATAGAGTTACCGGGGTATTATGGCGGATAATCATGTGGGATTTACTGAGTCTTGAGTCCATTGACTAGTTGAGATAAGACGGACATTGATGAGGCCACGACCTTGTCATGGACAGAAGGTCAGAGTCAAAGCTTGCAATAGCCTCATTGATAACGAGGATACTTTTTTCGTGAAGGTGAATAAGGAAAATTGAATGAGAAAAGGTCGAAGCTTGGTATGATTCTATGGATATGTTCCGCTAGATTACCTGCGAAGGTGCCGAAGTTATCTTACGACACCACTACAGTAATGGTGATTGCCCGTTCTCTAGAGCTGCGAAGACCTCATCTTCTAGAGGATGCGATGTCTTGAACTTGCATACTTGCTCATCATTGCAGGGTGGAATGTGTGAACTGCATGAGTAGACCCGCGATGGCGCGGTCACGATGAAAGGTTGCATAGCATATCACATAAGACCAGAACGCTTCAGAACAGAAGACAATTAAGCTATAATCCAGAGGGTTGGGAGCAGATATTGCTAAACATAAAGCATAGATCCACTGGATTTGATGACATTGTAAATTCACTGTTATCGTGGTAGTCACATTCGCATCTTTATCATCCTCACCATTCCTATTACTCCCTAGTGACCTCCACAGTTCGCTGCACTGTGATGACTTTTGTTCCTCGATGGATTGAGTTGCAGTCCCCCATAGTATCAGCTTGATAGCCCCGTTCTCGCGTCGGCGTTACTATCAATTCATATGTGTCCACGCTGCCCTCCTGTGAGCAGTGAAGTATAGAGTTGACCGAATCCGTCCGATGCCTTGGATGAAATAGCGAATGCAAGGGCAATGACGCCAGTCCTCGTGGCGGTCCGCTATGGTTAGATGGCCCTGATACAAAGTTCGATGGGATGATTGAGCGAACGCAGTTAAAGGTCTGCCGAAGAAGTGGCCATAGAAGCGGCATATTAGCAACATAGACCGCTGTAGAAACCTCCGCAGCATACCATTTCTGTCCTCTGGGTTAACAACCATTGGAATGTATATCAGTGCGCGGACTAACCAAGAATCGAGGGCTACCGAGTTCAATAAAATTGTAATACTTATTCAAAGTAGCCATAAGGATCTAGGTCCTGATCAGCAATTTATCCCCACCAGAAGTGAACTGAGTTGAACAGACAACGATCCCACCAAGACTGAATACAGCACACACGGCAATCTTCCTATAACCAAAATATAGTTATAGTTGGTGTCACACACATCCACACACAAACAGGGCCTTACTTCTTGAGGGGTAGCTGTGATCGGATGAAGAGTGGTAATGGGATACCCAGCATCAGCAAATCCGAAGAGATGTTGAGAATAGTCGTCGTGATCAAATGGTTCAAGTAGGATCCACATTGGTCTATAGGGCTTCATCAGTTCGTTCCTTAATTTTCCTACCAGATGTGTATCATACATTCATAAGTGAAAGGATTAACTGCCACACATTAATAGTTATGTTCTTGATCCTCGAAGCCAGGAGTTACTTACAGTATTCACTGATCGGCTGGCACCAAACACCCAAGAAGAGGATCTCAATGATAAGAAAAGAGACCACAACATACAGCGTTACTATCTTCACCACTGAATGCTCTTTTGTCATAAGCCTACAATTGGACTGCATTAGCCTTCAAGTATACAGAACCTCCGGATACTGGCGTACGTTAAACGATTGTAGACAATGAGAAGGCAGCCCTTAACCAGCCATATTGTGCTCAAGGCGAACTGCTCCACTATAAAGATCATCTTGTTACCCCACACCATAAGTGCCACCGCGTGTGGTGTCGGATTTTCTTCATGAACAATCGGATTACTGGCAACCTGGGCCATGCTATTCATTGAGAGTATAAGCCCGGTGAAAGTGATCTAATCAGAACCTGTCAATCTCGATTCCTTGGCTTGCCGTCGTTCTTAAAGCACATACCGCAATCAAACACATGAGTGCATCATCCATTTGCAGCTTCATCCATGACTTGAGCAATATTCGTCGGGAGGCTCTATAGCCAGTAAGTACTTTTATCCGCGGTTATCAATGGATATAGGAACAAACAGGCGACAGCCGATTATCAAAATCCCTATAACCATTTGGATGTTAATTCACGCGACGAGTGCAATTGCGGATTACCTATCACTTACCGATAGCATACAAGATCCATGACTCAATAGCGACTTCCCTGGCAAAAGGCTGCATGGCTGACGAAATGGTCAGTTCCTTCAACTCTGCAGAGTCACAGATGTCTCAAATGTGGCATGTATATAGGACCGTGTCTATCCACCTAGCCGCATCTGTGCATCTTACACAGTGATAAATTGAGACAAGCTCCTCACTATATGTACCGAGGATAAAGGATAGAACGTACAGAAAACCACCAATGCACTGAGCGCTTTGGCCTCGTGGTTCTCAAAACGTCAAGCGATCGCGAAGCCCTTCGTTTCCTCAGCCTCCACACCGTTTGGTATCAAACTTTAGTTAAATCCATTAGCTCAGGGGCAAATGCAAACACGGCTTAGGCTTATCGACCAGGGCGCCAATTTGAGGGTCACGGTCTATTATTCGGGTGAAGTGCAAAGTTTAACCCGAGCGCAGCCAAGGTGGGAAACTATACTACGACAATATAACGGCATGGTACTATAACGGCCTACGGGTCCTAAATCATGGAATGTCCTCAGCAGCAAGTACCATGATGGAATCTTCTTAATATATCTCAGACTTTTTCTAGTAAGAAGACATATATTGCACCAGAGGGTACTCCTGAGTAAAGATATCCCGCATTACTATCCTCCAAACATGGTTTAAATATGCCCATCGAAAACTCATATACGTACTGCGATCCTGCAGGAATGCCTCGACCTCCAATCTGTCCCAACCCGTATTCATCTAGCTATTCTAGCTCTGGGGCTCTTGGAAGGACGACATTGTGTAGCCCCGCTGACTACGTGGGAAGGGACCCAATAACGACTATACACACCTGCCGAGCGGGCTAGAATCGAACGTCAGTAGATTTAATTTCCATTTTGCACGGGCCGGTCATGCCCATATGTGGGTCTCTCCTGGTGCAGTCGATTATCTTATCTTCGGTGGTTGGTCGAAGCTTGGTGGATTCCATGTTCGACCCGGCTATCAAAATGCCGATCTCTTCGTTATAGGGGTTGTAGCCCTGTGTGTCACTCCATTTTAGATTGGTATAGCAAGGCGATCGACAGTTCAGTCATACTCCCTCGGGTAGTAGCATAAGGAAGGGAGACGTAATCCTAACTTCAGGGCATGAATAGAGGCATCTTCTCGGCATTCCCTTAGGGCATGTGAACGCAGAAGGAACAGGTATGGAAATATAAAAAATAAAAATTGTTAGTTTTGAAGAACCTACAACAATCTACCCGCAGCCAGATCAACGTGTGTTCCCCTCGGTCATGGAAAGTTGATGGACAAACGTATGAATCTCGGGAGAACCTCGGAGAAATTGGTTAGTGCAGCTGTCAGTATACGAAGCAGTACAGCTGCTACATACCTGGGCAGATGAGTGGTTTAGAGAAACGTGTGAAAGCATGCCCCCTGGGTAGCTCAATTCTTTTGTTTCAGCTGCAGGGCTTTGCCGGGAATGCAGTCTTGATCCATATGTAGCCATTGACCATAATTATTACCTCAAAGGTAGAATTACGTGAGCCTAACCTGTTCCGCCACAACAGCTCGAACTATATTCTCCATCGGGAACAGCGGTCGTGACATCCTTATCGCAATTATAATTCGGCCCAGGCCGTTCGTTCTAATGTGGATGCTAGTTGGGTGTCAGATTTCGAGAGCTCAGCTTGCTCGGGCTCTTCTTTGGTGCTGTATGAGCTGCCCGCCCAATATTTCTAGTAATTCGTTGGCCATCTGAGGCTCAAGCGCTGAAGCGGGGCGTCAGATGTTATCCAATAGAGATATATCATTTGCAGCCAGCGTTGCGCTGAAGGCGCTAGTGGTTAAGGGGCTTGGGTGTCCAATGGCTCAGCGTTGCGCCCGTCAATAGTTCATACATAAAATGTTTCTTCTTGAATAATTCTCCAAAGGGAGCCTACAGTGGTAGCATCTTACGACAGCCTGTTTGTCCCATATTCCAAAAAAAAGTGCTATTCCTGTGCCTTCCTACCAACACTATCGAGTTCCTACAGTGACGACTGATAATTGATGTAATATCGAAATACTAACAGTTAATATATATTCTCCGGCGGTGTGTCTTCCCAGGATGGATGTCCAATTTAAACAGAACGCGCGAAATCCACTTTTGGTCCCGGAAATTGTTGGTCTTGTTATTAACAATATTCACAATATCTCGGACCTTCTGAGTTGCGCTGGTATGAACAGTATATGGAATGTGGCCGCTTTGAAGAAGCTCTACAAGGGCTCTCTGAACGACATGCAGTTCCGCACACCGGACATTGGGTCACTCAATTGCCTTTTTGTACATATATAGCTACACAATATGTAGCTACTAAATGACCGATATGCGTATAAATCGAACGAAAAAGCCATTGTCATACACAAACCCCCCTTCATGTGTAACATCGTAGTTCAGGCACGCAATAAAAGAATTCCGATCTTATGCAAATCATACTACTGAAATAATGCGGGAGAGAACTCTGTAGTAGCAAAGTCCACTTGGGTCTACGGCGTAAGCTTGACTATATTGCCGGCAGAGATAGCCCTCCAGACACCGCAGGTAGACTGTATACTGGCAGAATATACAGATCCAGATACAGGACACGGAATTGTATAAGAAGAGATCTATACTTCCAGGGTTATATATATACAGTATAGGAAACAGTTCCGGGAGGGAGAAAGACTAAGATTGAGAAGTGGGAAAACAGTATCTCAGGGGATATGATCTGAACATAGACCTATATAGCCAGATATATATAGCAGTAAACAGATTATATTGGACAGTTCTACACGGACAAAAAGATGCCGAGAGCCACCCTGGTCTGTCGACGGTCGCTGTCGATTCCTTATACCTATAGTAACAGCGGTATTTATTAAAAAATATATCTACAGAGTGATTGTCCTGGAGAAGGTGGGAAAAGAGAAAATGAATATATTCCAATTTATTTACAGTATATCCCAGTGAAACCTTGTTATTTACTCTGACAGATATAACTACGTGCCGCTGACGATAAGATACGGCGGGACGGCGGACACGACCATCCACCATTGGCTTAGCTCTCTCAGCCAGCCCACTGGCACTGTTATCATGGTTGGTTCATTCTCATCTCGCCATCTATGGTGTCCTTACAAGCATTGGCTCACTGTGTCAGGATTGGCGAAAAATTCCTGGATTGGTCGGACCCCAGGGAGCCAGTAAGTCTTGAGATCATACTTGGCATGGTATCTCTGTACTGGTTTATCTCGTCTTTTCCTCGATCTGTTTGGCCGTATCGTCATCTGCTCGACCCGGGTGCCTTGGTCTCCGTGCCAAAAACAAAGCCCTTTGGATATTCATGCTTCCTCCACGAGATTTCTACCGTAAAGGAGTCCGTGGCAAGGGAATTGGCGGAGAACTTGGTTTTTTTTGCTGAATATGATAAGGTATTACCTTCCAGAAGGCTAAACCCACACCCTGACGTGATTAATAGGGTGGCCATTTCGCGGCCCTCGAACAACCTGAGTTGCTACTTGCAGGTGTGGAGTTCATCGCAAGACTCTAATGCTTTTCAGCCACCTGGCATACCATAAGACTATGTGTGCCAGAAATGGGTTCAAATATATAAAGCAGGGTTGGAGATTCTACGAGGACACTATATCAGGAATGAACTTCAAATTATTTTTGCCTTCATATCTGTACTGCATTTCAGTAGGTCTAAAGCATCCTCCGGTGACGGACAGTTCTTAGGGTTGTTAGGAGATCGGCCGTAATGGCACCAAGTGGATTTGACCACCACATGTGAGCATAGGCAAGTGACACCCGCCGTTGATTGGTATTAGGAATTAAGCTTGACGGAGATCCAAACTGCGCTGACTCAGCGGTCTACAGCAGAACGTGGAGACATCAAATATCCTGTTGGACAGTCGTTGGGGGCAGAGAGAGGGGAGGCTGGTGGGGGTGGAGATAATGTTTCAAAATAGCGTCCAAATAGTTGAGTATAACTGATCGGGAACATTTCAAGGTCTGCATAATCACCGGATCGGATGCTTTGTCCCGACGCGAATATTGGGAGCAAGTACTCCACAGTCGTCATTCCTCTGCTGTTATTGATATACTCACAATCTGAAAGCTGAGGACCTAATCTTCTTCCGGTATTCTATAGCACGTGCATCATCGGCCTGAGGAAAAAGAAAATGTCGACAAAGTTTAACACGGAGTATCCTAAGCACGGAGCTCGACTTTTGCTTCATACACTGCGGCGTCTTTAGGTTCCACAATGCCGATACCGCCCTTTGTTAGCTTCTCTATATTGGGGATAGAACAATCCTCGGAATCACTGGTTAGAACTGGTGATTGCTCCCAGCACAACATATATAAAGGGACACCATCTGCGCATGGCTTATAGTTTGTTTATTCCTGTAGATATTCTCCATCATAACATCTGACTTTACTTTCCCATCATGGTTATATAAAAATGACAGCCCTTCCTCCTATCAAAGGCGCTGAGAATCTTCCATCCAGATGGTCGCTGACCGAAGGCCTCGGCGGTTATGACATGTCAATCCGCCCTGAAGGCAAAATTGGCGATGTTATGGTTCGAGGCACTACTCCAAACTCTATTGATGGAACCTTCTACCGTTGTGACTCTTCCGGGATACAGTCCACTTCCAGACCAGATTATTGTCAGCGCATTTTGCATCTACACGGGCCAGATAGATTTTAAGATTCGATATATCCAGAATAACCGATATAAAATAGACAAAAATATAAAGAAGAGTATCTGGGATGATAGACACAATACTCTACCCAGCCAGTATCTATATATTAAGACTGTCTTAACCTCTACTAGTAACACCAATATTATCTACTGAAGCGGAAGACTTTTTATACTGGATTATATATAGTTTAAAAAGTATTTTAAAAACTAGAAAAATTTCTAGATATTCCCAGTTCCGATCAGCCCTGAATAGAGTAAGTTCGGGGGAGGATATATATTCTCCCTGTACTCTCTTCCCTTCTCTGAGGTGGGGACCCGACAGTCTCACCGGCCAATTCCCACTGCGAACAGCGGCCGGTGGGTCCGTACCCTTCCCCAGTGTATAGTCGGGACTAGACGTAGGTGAAGGAATATGAAGCCAGTATTTTGGACTATAAAAGTACATGCTAGTATACAAAACTGTATTTAAAATGACTGAGACCCCTCATCCTTCGAAACATATAAGTGTCCACAGTACCATTATTTAGTTTAGCTAGGGAGACTCCGTTGTTTACTACGTGGCGATAGAAAGTGCTGACTTCTGGCCGCTTAGAAAACACCCTGAATCTCAACAAGTCCAAATCCGGTCACACAGTTGCCATTAGCGTTGGTTCCATTTACAGTAATAAAGCCTTCATAAGTCGCAAAGCCACCGGCGGCCCACAACTTCTGGTCGTTATAGGTCGTTGTAATTGTGAGTGTAGTTTCGTCCTGAAGAACCATTGTCCATGCCTGGTGGTAGGTGACATTGGAATGAGGGGATGTCCAGGACTCGCCGAAGGGTTCAACGGTGCGGACAGGCTGGACGACGCTGATACCATCCTTGGACTGGGTAGTAGCCCACTGACGATGGCCCTTGACGTCGCTGTCGTACATCCACACTGAGACAAGCTCGTTCTCGTCACTACTCTCCTCCTTGATGTGCAGTTGGAACCAAGTCCAAGAAAGGCTGGCTGGTCCGGGCCCAACGTTCCACTGACGGTCGTACCAAGTCTGTGAACGCTTCTCATTAACGGCGACCTTCTTACCGTTGAAGACAAGCCAGCCAGAGGTCTTCCCGGCAGGCATGGACCACTCGCCCGTCTGGTCCGGACCGAATTGGAAGAGGCCACCAAGACCGGTGTTGAAGAGGATGGGGGCTGTCAACTCGAAGGTCAGATCGAAATGGAGATCCGTCCTATTCGATACGGTACGCAGCTTTGTAATAGTGCTGTTGGCGAGAGCAGAGCCGAAGAAGAAATCGCCAGTGCGTATGTCGAACTTGCCGTCTTGACTATTGGCCGTGAGGTTTTGGGTGGTCATCTTGGAGAACTGGGTATAGGCAGGCTCGGTGATGTCGTAGATGCCACCACGGTAAAATTTCAATTTGTCCGAGGCAAGGACGTGGGACAGCACCATGTACTGATGATTGTCACTTCCCGTGAGATAGGATGATATCCACCAGGAGTTACTGGAGTCAACCATTTCACTGTTGGAGGTGTTGAAGTCATATGGCAAGGGCAGGGGGTCAATCTAGTGGCTGTGTTAGTGGTGATATTTCCCAATGGGTTAGAGGGGAGAATTCTTACCAGTCGAGCGGTTTGAATGCCTGCTTGACTCGGATGGAAGTCATAGGCGGCCGTATGGTGGGAGCTCTGCTTGTGGTTACAGCGTGAGCTCGTAGCCTGGGCTACTACAGCAAGCGCCCAGACAAGTAGAGATAGTTTAGACATGATGGTCATATTGCCTTGGGCCGTTGAATGAGTGAGATATTTGTTGGGTTGAAATCAAATTGATATGATACTCAGATGTGGAAGAGACGAGTATTTATATACGCTCTGAGACCTCACCGGGTGAACTAATCTGGACACAATCGAGGGTAATGCCCCTTTTGTCGATCTAAGTGCATCCATGGATATACTCTTTGAGGACAGAGGTTCAAGGAGCAAGCCGTACTTGGAATGCGCGAGCATCTCAAAGCTTATAGACGCTTAGTCATCGGTTATAAGCGAGCCTCTTGGGGAGTTACAGGTCTCTTACTATTACTTTGGTAAGCGTGAAAAGAATTTCAGTGTGTTAGTGGGTGTGTTCGTTACCCAAGCTTCTACTAGCTCTATCTTGATGTTGCCTGGAATAGTATTTACAAGCGCTGACTAAGCGCGTGTAAGGTTAACATAATTCCCGGACATTCCATAGTTCCCGGGCAATCCTTTCAACCACGAGCTCGTGCTTGCTCAAGTTTAAAGCTCTTTACAACAATCAAAAACGATTTAAATTAACTTATCTTGAGTTCTGTGATATTACTATAAAATAAATTACTAAAAAAATACAATGTAATATATATTACCTCAAGATATATAGACTTATATCCTCTGAAATCTAAATACTGATATTAAACATTACTTTGATATTTTATTATATAAATATGAATCACTTTAGATACGGTGCGGTTGAGAGATTGGATCTTAAAAAGTGACTGTTTAGTATGGGATACAGAGGTGGCCCGCTCGTTGGTCTGGCCCGCTCACCAGTGAAATACGTTAAATGTCCTTATTCCATCTTGTCATCGATTGTGTATCTGCATTGATGCACGTAACTCGGGCGAGTCGAGTTTTAGATTGGAATATGGGGCTGGAACTCTCGCTTGCCTGGTTGTGAAATACGTTAGCGCAGAGTATGTAAGCGGAAATACGGATGCACATTTACTACTCATCAGGAACTCACCAAAATCTCCCCTTTGTTTGGATCTGCTTGCTTTCCCCGACGTTTTCTGGACTACGAACTGCAGTGTGAGATTGAGGAGAGCTGCCACAGCTTGATAGTCTGGTTTAAGGTAAACTGGCGTTTGGCCAGGTTAGGTTAGGTTAATGGGGTCGGTTATACCTAACCGGTACGTTATGGCTAGGTTACAACGGTTAGGTTATGCCACTCTAGGAAGAATATTCTCATTAATTAATCTATTTAGCTCTATTAACTATACTATAGATCAGTATACGTACAGCGCTGCATACAAGGCACAGGAGACACCATGAAATTTTCAGGCTCAGGCCGATTTCATTGTTCATATTTTCCTGAGAAGGGAAATGTGCGTTGCGCGTGTCGCATTATATCTTCGCACGTTCTCTGGCGGACAAGTCACAAGCAGCTTGACTCAAGTCGTAGCATTACAGAGCGAGTATCTAGAAGACCTATGCGCGACGCCGGCCTTCATGTAGCGCTCTAAACGCGCTCTCCCGCTGCAGAAGCTCTTTTGGGTTGCCCTCCTCAATTACTGAGCCCGCCTCAAGCACAAAGACACGATCGTTGTCCAGAATAGTGTCCAGACGATGTGCGACTGTGATAATCGTGCAGTTGGCAAATCGCTCTCGGATCACTTTCTGCATCAGTTGATCCGTTGTGGGGTCCACATTACTCGTCGCTTCATCGAGGAGTAGAATTGTCGTCTTTTTAAGCATCCCCCGGCATAGGCACAGTAGCTGTCGCTGGCCATGAGACATGGTCACTCCGTCGAGCGCGGTTGTCAGCCCATCTTTTTTCTCGAAGATTGGCCACAGCTTGACGTTCTGGAGTGCTGATATGCACTGCTCGTCGGAGGCAGCACTGCTAGGATCAATGCTAAGGCGCAGGGTCCTTCCAACTAGAAATTGCTCTTGTGAGATTACCGTCATGCGTTGTCGGATCAAGCTACTATCGATGCTTCGGAGGTCAACTCCATCGACAGTAATTGTACCGGACTGAACGTCGGGAAGTCGCAAAAAGGCGGCTAATAGAGTACTCTTGCCACTGGGGGTGGTTATGCGTCAGCGCCCGACTCAATCACACAAGCTTCGAGCGTAGCAGGTGGCATTTCTCTTGCATACCTTCCGGTTCTGCCACACAGAGCGACTCGTTCACCCGCGCCAACCGAGAGACTGATGCTGTTCAGTGCAGGTGCTTTCCCACTGCTAGCGGTTAGTGACTGGCGGACGTCAGATCCATGGCATACATACTCATATGAAACTGTGACATTGTGGAACTCGATCGCCCCATGTTGAGGCCAGTCGAGAGGAGGATTGATAGCTTTACTTGGCTGTTCCTCTGCTGGCGTCGTAGCTTGAAGTTGTTTTAGACGGGCAATAGCCCCCAGTGACGTTTCCATGTCCGTCCAAGCGATGATCAGCTGGTTCAGGTCGACGCCAAGGTTAATGATATTATTAAGGGCAACGCCAATCATGACACCATTGGTGGTATTGTGTAGGTTCAGCGCCAAGGCCACCACGGCCACCGCCAGTGTACCGACAATGAGATCTAAAACCAACTGCAACCATCTCTGGGCACACAGAAGCAGGTAGAAGGGGCTTTGCGAAACATCCAGTTTCCGCACAAGCATGCTGAGGAATTTGTCCTGCCAACCAAACGCTCGGATCGATGATGCTCCCTCTTGTGTCTCGGTGAAGAGGGTGTACAAGGGGTCTTTAGCCTCAAGATCTAGCAGACGGAGCTGGCGCGATGTTCTAAGGTAGAACTTCTGAAGCACGTGCAGCACAATGAACAGCAGAGGCAGGGTAAGAGCCATGAAGCTTGCCCCGGCGGAAACAAAGGCTAATTGGCCGAGGCACCGCGAGAGGTCTATATCACGTCAGGTATCTCTCTCCGGGAAGACCAGAAGCGTACAGCTTACTGAATACGGCCAGCATGAGGGCTGAGGGCAGTTTGGAGTCCAGAAGTGTCATATCTTGGCTGAATCTACTTCCTTGTCAATATCGCAATCCGGTGAGTTTGGTCTTCGATGTACCTATTCAATAAGCTCCCAGTATCTGTTCTATCAAGAAAGCCCATCGATGCTCTTGGCCATGTTAGTCTTGTTCTCCACAAGTAATGTTCAGCTCACCTTGTCACTATTATGAGCAGGACTTCGTGCAGTTGCACGGATGTCTTGGGCGCGATCTTCATTAACATTAACCTATAGCCGTCAGCTAATGCTACCTTACACTTCAGGCAGCCTGTTACCATATAGCAAGCGCCATCGCTGACAACGTGACAAGCGGTAGCGTAGCATAAATCACCATGTACAGCAAAAAGTGAGCACCAGTATCAGCGGTCCACCACCCCAGAATGATCTCTTATAAGTGGCATTAACAACTCATGTCGAATAAATGGACAGATGTCAGGGCAACCCACGAGGAAAGAGTGCAGTGAAAGTGTTGCAAATCACACTGGCACCGAAAGGCGCGAGAAGCTGCCATCCTATGAATCCTAGGTAGTACTTATAGACCTTCACATCTCCAGTCTGCCGGGATAAATCCTGCCTTTGCTCGTCACGTAAGACATTGTGTGTCTGTACCACCGGCTTAGCCGCTGTTGCCTCAGATGACGCCGGCGGCACTGCCTCAAATGCAAAGTTGTTATTTTTCAACTGCCCCTGCATTCTCTGCTCTCGTATCTGGCCTCTGGAGTCGAGAATGATTAATTTATCCGCCAGAGAAAAAATGTGTGCTATATAGAGAGGTATATGAGCTTGCGAGCTGATACATTGGAACATATGACTCGACTCTTTACCTGCATGAGTAACCAGAACAACCGTCATCTTGAGGCGGCGTACCAGACCGTCACGCCCGAATAGATTTCGAATAATCTCGGCCTCCGTGCCGCGATCCAGCGCACTGAAGACGTCATCAAGCAGAAGTAACTTGGGTCGATGGTAGATCGCCCGGGCCAGCGCCTTGTAAATTTGTCAGAGATAGATAAACTCGGCCATGATGGGAGCTCCTACACTTACTAGACGCTGTCTTTGGCCACCACTGAGTATAAGACCACGTGTTCCGATCATTGTCCGATCACCATCGGCAAGATCGTCAATATCACGTTGTAGGGCACAAGCTTTGATTACCGAAGAGTACCACTCCCTTTCTATTGTCGAGTGCCCGGTCGGGCCACAGATATTTTGTTCGACGCTGTCATTCAACAACCATGGAGCTTGCGAACAATAGGCTACACGGGTAGAGCCCGTCATCACCCGTCCCTGACTGCACGGTAATTCTCCAAGAATTGCTTTAAGCAAGGTGGACTTCCCACTACCGACGGGACCAGCAATCAAAGCCAACATTCCGTCCTCGACCTGAAAGTTCAGGGAGTTCAATGCTGGTTGTATGGATCCTGGATAGTGTATCGATGCATCGCGAACATCTACCATGGAGGATGGATGAAGTGCCCCAGAGGTGTCTTGCAATGATTTTAGTGAGGTAGGACCTTTGGGACGCAGTTCAATGCTGGTAATTTCGTCATCGCGGCAGGGATTCACGGATCGACGTTCTTCGCTCATGTCTGAACTGACGTATAGAAAGTCCTGGAGGCGCTGAATCGATCCCAGACACGCAGAAACTGAAGGCACTGCGAAAAGGAACTTGTTTGCAGGAGACATCAGGAGAGACAAGGTGGCTAATGATGAGAATGCTTGGCTGGTGTTGAGCAGGTCTTCACCTCTGACCTTGGCTTGAATCATGTAAATGGCTAAAGTGGCAGCTGAAGCAAATACGGGTGGTAAATTTGCTGTAGACTGTCAGTGATGAGAGCTCTGTGAAGTAGTTATCTTACCAAAGACATTAGTGACTATGATCATCCACCTGAGCCCCCGTTGCTTCTTCAGCTCAGTCAATCTGAGGGACTGAACTTGATGAAACATATCCTCAGTGAGACCACACATGCGTATGCTCTTCATATTATTCAAAAGCGAAGAAGCCGCAGTCACCCGTCGCTGGACGGAATCAGCCCAGAGTTTCTGTTTCCCGGTAATCCTTCGGGCGACTCTGGCACTTCCTATAGTTGACGCTGTATCTTGGTTAGAGAAGACATCGTACAATCATTAGAGGCGGCGCGACCTACCAGCAACTATGACCAGTGGCGCTATACATGTCCAGCCGAGATAGGTTGAGAGAATATATACTCCTATGATAATCTCCAGCAGTTGTCCCCAACACTCATGAAGATCTTCGAAGCTTGTCTGAATTCTCTCAACGTCAGTGCTCATCAAAGTGACCGGCATTAAGTACTCCTCTCCACGGTCTGGTACGTGCAACATCTGGTAATAGACCAGATACACAATGGCTCCTCGGAGCATTGTCAGAGACCTGTTGACTTTGTGTTTGTAAGAGGCATTAAATACCTGCTTGAATGAGTAAGCTGCTTCCCATGAACGTGTAATTCCATGGGTATAGTACTGCTCTTCCAAGATATGTCAGAATCGTGGCGCCGATTAATCCATATCTCGTGTTGTGGTCATTCGAACTGCCACTGCCACTGACACTGACATAACTAATTATACGTGACACTAAGAATGGCTGGGCATAATTGAATCCGATAAGAAGAACTCTTGCTGGCACCGGGACGAGAAGCTGCCGGGCAAAACAACGCACAAGCGCTTTTAACAAAGCGTTCGATCTGTTTCCATTCTCTAATCGATATCAGCATCATTCAATTCAACCAGGCGATGATAAAGGCGACAAACTGTCACGGCGCCAGTAGTGTTTTAGTCTTTTGCCCAGAATTTCCGAATCGATGTCTTCATCAATTGGGTAAAGATCAGTTAGCGTGAAAAGAGTCTGATAGCCTAAAACAAGAAGCTTGTTTAACCACCAGAAGACTGTACGGCTGATGACTCCACTGATTGCTTCAGGTGATGTTAAAGTGCGATTCGAGCCCATCAACAGCTGCTTCCGCTGTGCCTCTAGGACCAGTAGACAAGCCTTGGTAGCCATAATGGCGCAGTATATCGAGGCAATGGTGTCATCCCCCCTCAGAAACAAGGTCCGTGCCTGCGGAACGTCTAATAGTAGCGAACCAAGGAGATAGATGTTCAGTACCGAGGATGGTCGAACGGAGCGCATATGCTCAAGATAGGAAAGAGGAACGATTGTCGTAGAAGCCAAGAAGGCCATCACCGAGGACGCAATGGAAACGCTTGTCTGTCCATACTTATCTCCGACCCATAGACCCAGTACAGTCAATTGTGCACACGCACTCAGCGCTGATATGATCTAAATGATTCAGGAATTTAGATTTGGACTTGTGTTTGGACTGATTAGGAAGGGAATGCATTTTCATACCGTTTTAATATGACAGTACGGATCGAGAACTGCTTTGGGAGTTTGGTTACGTAATTTGTATATCCGGAGTAGGGCTGAGACCAGTAGTAGCGCAGAAGGAATAATTGACAAAATGGCTTGCTCAAAGAGAAGAGTGAAGTCAAACGTTCTCCGACAACTTAGAACCACAGGTCCGAAGGTATTATCGGTAGCAGGGCAAACAGGAAGGGCATCCCCACCAGAAAGGGATGCATTCTGCGACATCTTAGGAAGGAATTGGACGGGGTAGTGAAGTCAGTGAACATTGGGGGAATGGACTGGCTTGAGCAGATCAGGCTTTAATGATAAAAGATACCAACAGCCAACAGAGAGAAAGAAAGCTAGACACAGGCTACTGTTATCAGTGGGTTGTGGTTACATCGCTCAGTATGCGGTGGCGCCATGGCTACTAAAATTCCACCACACATCTTTTGTGCTGAGCTGGACCCTGCTGCCATCACGTACACAGTAGTCAAGGGTCTTGACCACTAGTGGCTTGTGCCTTCCAGGACACGATCAATGCAAATAATACAGTACACTTTCTATAAGCATATCGCAGGCACCTTTGCATTTCACTTTGACTCCCCACCCCTTCGAGAACATGGTTCTTTGCCTTGTCAAATGTGCCATCCAGTCTGGTTGCCTTCCAGAGCCCAGTCATACAGCCGGTCAAAATTTCGACAAGTATGCCGCACTTCCCAGTCCGTACTATATCGTGTCGGGGAGCCAAAGGAACTACGCTTTGTATTCCTAGTCTCTTCGTCTCTTCAGCCGGGACTGCATAAATCCCAACTGAATCCCCGATATGAGTGACTGAAGTTCATTCCATACACGCGAACTCACAGTTGAGATGAATGATTATTATCCTGACTTACCATCCCAAAGAGCATTCCAGTTGGAATTAACCTCCTCAGATGGGGGGCCTTCGTATTCATGAACACGTATGTTCTTGGAATGTAAACCGCTTGCTTGAAAAACCACATTTTCATAATGGATCCATGGTTCAGCGGAAACCGTATGGCACATGAGTACACCAACAAAAACCACGATATTTAGAAAATGAGGCCGACTAACCTAACTCCGTAGGGAATGTCTTTGCACACTCAGGCACTGTTAAGAGAAAGAACGTGGTGTAGATGAGAAAGGCGAGGCTATGAAAAGCCCATGTTCCCCTCAAACAACAAGGTATCGGACGGCGAGAGCCTACTATCCGCAAAACCATCCTCTTCATCTTCCAATTTGCGGTAGCTTACTGGCATGATTTCTATCTGGGCACTGCAATGTCTTCACGACTAACACTGCTATATGAAAATTGAACCAGGAATGAAAACAAGGAGGATAGAGTAAAATGAGGAGGAATTGATTGTCTGCACCGGAATGGTGATAGACTGTGACCGGTGGCTGTGAGCTAAACTTCCACGGGGTGCATCAGTAAAATGATCCAACTGACTGCCCAGAGAAAGAAGGGGATGCTAGACATGAAACAACAAAAGCAGCATGGCCTGGCTACAATGTTAACCTATACCAAACTGCCTTGGTTGGCTGAGTGATACCCTGCCAAGAGCACCCCTGCTTCGCACTCCAGTCGATCATATCAGAGCATGCTACCCCTCATTATAGTTGCGAATCAGGACTTGTGCATACAGAGAGCTGTTTGATAGTGGAAATACCAGCGGGAGTACACAATTAGTGCGCCGGTTGCATGCGGGGCTGACAGGTGAACCTTGTCTGTTGGATATTGTCCGCCAAACCCCCCCAACCTATGCCGGATACGCTATGACCCTGGAAAAATGGAGTGGACAGCGAACTCCACTAATTTGGCCCGACGCACTGACACCAGACATATACAGAATATATTACAGCACTCCACACTAGTTCCCTACACAGATCACAGATATGGTTACATCGCACGATAGGAGGCAGGATATCCGGGGTCCCGACAGGCCACCATCAACTCGAATAGATTGACATACCATGGAAAGCACTAAATTTCTCGCCACTGCGCTCACCCTAAGATCGTTGCACTAGGGCAAACTATTGAATCCGCTGTCGTCACGGTTTACGGAGTATACCTTGGAGATTGTCTTCTAGGTTCTGGACCTAAGAGCCCCAGACATCGTCGAGTATTTAATCCGTCAGCGGTCCTGTTCGTTAGTATGTTTCTAGCTTGTTTTGTGGTCACTTTTCGTGACCAACTACCTATTTGGTAGGTATCGATACCGACATAAGCCCTAAGCGCAAAATCATATGCGCTTCAACAAGTAGCATAACATAATTGGCCCGACAGGCCGTCTCTACCTCCAGCTACTAGGTTATTTGACCGACGAATCGACAAAAAATTCTAATTCAACAAACACCATACACAGTAGATTTACCTGACCCTCCTTCTAATGGCGGGCGGCGCCTTTTACAAGTTCTCTTCTGAGTCCATGCACCACTCTTTACTGGACGAGAGAGTTTGAAGATGATAGAAGAAGTAGGAGACCAAGGAGAATTTGTATACAGAGCAATAATAGATGAACTGAAAGCACGCCAGCAAGAAGCCTGTATTTATATTATTAAATAAGCTGTGCGGATTAGATTATCACTAACGACTCTTTCCCATTTCTGCAGAGCATGAACTAAGAAAATACGATTATTCATATTAAGCCGTGGTCAAAGAGGATGATTAGGTCCTTGTCTTTGTCATGCCTTCACAAAGGTAACAGGTTGTGATCTTATACTGTTACATTTTAGTTTATATATAGTTTAGAGGCTAGCTGGGAAGCCTGGTTCTTACTCGAATTTCTCCAGCGGACTTCCCTACCTGACTAATTGATTAGCGAGAACCCTAGTATTCTGTGATTCTCCTTAAAACGTCGCGTAGCAGGCCATGAACCACTTCTAGCCTCATGGCACGACACAGATTGCCGCCCATCACGTCAAACAATGGCGAATGACAAGAGTGAGGCGATTATGATCGTAACGTCCATCTTTCTTGCGCTGTCCTTGCTTACAGTCAGCCTTTGATGCTACGTCCGACTACATCTCATCCGAACTTTTGGCGCGGATGACTATATGATGGTCCTTGCGATGGCCTTCAACATTGCATTCGCTACCTGCGGCATTGCCGGCGCCTCCACGGGGCTGGGAAAGAAGATGAATTATTTTACAGATATACCGGACGACCTGAAAGACTCGCTGCGCGTACGCTCCCCGTTCTTTCATATGACGTATTTTGAATTCATAACGTACTCATCCACTTTTAGTTCTGGTGGGCTGGCCCGATATTCTACGCTCTGACGGGCACTGCCGGCAGGACTTCTATTGCGATTTCACTTCTGCGTATCACTGTCGTCCGCGTACACCTGATCATTATCTATGCAATGATTGCTTTGAGTATTGCGGTTGGTCTACTCTTCTTCTTAGCAAAAACAAATTTTCTTTTGCTCAGCCAATACGTTGCATGCTAAAAGCATATCCCTTTTGCTTCATGCAGGTCACATGTGTACGAGCAGTTTTGTCGCGCTTATGAGAACCTCAACTGATATGCCATACCAAATTGTAGAATTTTGGGGGAAAGCCTGGGTTTCTCTTGATCTCTGGAAAGGGTACAACCAAGGAACTTGGAGTCCTCTTGAACTACTAACGTCCGAAGACCGTCCCTGATCCAAGAGCTGTGTCCTAGTGTCGGAGATAGAATCTGGACGAGGACTAACGGATGGTCATTAAAATGGGGATGGTCTCGGTAAGTCAAACAGGCACGGCACCGAGGTCTTCTGGGCCAGCTAAGGATCCGGGGAGAATCTCAAGATTAGGTTCTTCGTAATTACGATCTGGGTAACCGTGGTTGGTACTTTTACTTTGACAACAACCATGCTCCAAGGCTGCAGCGCATGTCAGATACTATATAGCAATACGTTCAATTCTCAGGCCAATGATTAAACGAAATGCTATATCTGGGCTTGGCAATTCCCCTGGGGCCTCGCTGGCGCAGGCGATCCTCGGTATGTGCTTTGAACCTTGCGTCGGCTCGGCCGCCGAAGGATACACGACTCCGTCTACGACCCTTGAGAAAAAGAGGCTTGCTCGATCGGCGATTAGACCATGGCATTCTTGAGCTCTTAGTAGCGCAGGCTTTGTCATAACTTATATCATTCAACAATGAAGAAAGGTTCGGTCTCACGCGCGTTAGCCCTTGTTTTTTCGCAGCTGATCAAGGAGCCTTCGGTATGAAACCACACATTGAGTTTTTGTCCATCGGCGGATGAGCATTCCAGAAAATACCTCGTCTCCCATCTGCATATAGCCTCAGGCAGCGAGGTACAGGAAATGAGAAACACTTGATCGGAAAGATTAATTGACTGTGCACCAGCGGAGGGTGCAGTTGGGGACTATGTTTCCCATCGGCTTTTTCCATGCGCATGGTAGGCAAAATTCGAATTCCACTCGAAAGGCTGTCGAGCTGTGGTGATACGGGAAGCAATCTGACGTGTCTGCAAAAGAAGACCCCCTTCCGCCGGAGAATTCATGTTAAAAGTTACGAACGTGAATGTGTTTGGTCCGCGAAGATTGGTTGATCGTTTACCAAAGCTCCGATGAGTCTGGTTTGGCTGCAATGTGAGAAGCAAGGGGTTGGGAAAGTCGACACAACAAACACAGCGCCGTTGGAATGTCAGGCCACGCAAGAAGTGAAGAAGTGCAGTGAACATGATTTATAACAAATACATAAGACTGTTGGCTCTCTCCAGATCAGATAGCACGCACAACCCAGGCTTCTTACAATGAGAACTTCATTTCTTCTCGCAGCCATTGGCTTCCTCTATCGGATACCCTGTTCAGCGGCACAGACCTTGAACATCGTCGCGCATCAGGATGATGATCTACTATTCGTCAGCCCCGATCTTCTGCATGAAATTCAAGGCGGCCGCAGAGTTCGCACAGTTTTCCTGACAGCAGGCGACGCAGGGGAAGTTTCTACTGGCTACTGGGAGCAACGCCAGGCGGGTTCCCAAGCCGCATACGCGCAGATGGCCGATGTCAGTGACATCTGGTCGCAATCGGACGCTGGCATTGACGGGAAAAACATTCCTGTCTTCACCCTCGAAGGGAATCCAGATATATCACTGGTCTTCCTCCAATTGCCCGACGGTAACGGCCTCGGAGATGGATTTCCGAGTACCGGAAGTGCCAGTCTCCAGAAGCTCTGGCAGTCGGAAATCAGTAGCATCCACACGGTGAACGGGTCGACCAGCTACACCAATGACGAGCTCCTTGATACCCTGACTACTTTGATGAGTGATTTCAACGCTGATCGGATTAACACTCTGGACTACGCTCATGCGTATGGTGATGTTGACCATAGTGACCACCACACCACGGCGTATTATGTGGCAGAGGCCGCCGAACAATACTCCGCCACGCATACGTTGACTGGGTACACTGGGTATTCGATCCAAGCAATGGCCCAGAACGTGTTTGGGGATGATCTCAATGCCAAGCAATCTGCTTTCTTCACATATGCTGCGCACGATTCGAAAGTTTGCCATGACTTGGCCAGTTGTGGCAATGGCAATGAGGCACAATGGCTGCAGCGACAGTATGCTGTCACTGGAGAACCAGTAGCGAATGCCCGTCTCCGTGGCACTCGTCGAACAGTTGGATTGGGGGAGAAGGTCATGCTTGATGGTACGGAAAGTCGAGACCCCAACGGTGCCACCCTTACTTATCAGTGGACACAGATTAGAGGAGCCAGTGTGATCCTCTCCAATGCCACCGCTGCGCAACCGTCATTCACCAGTCCTGAATCTCCGGGAACACTAGGGTTCAGCTTGGTGGTCGGGAATGGAAAGACAAGGAGTACGCCAGCCAGGGTCACAGTGATTGCAACTAATCTGGAGAATATCGCCCGTAACGCAACAGTGACCGCATCTTCCCAGAACGCTGCCAGTGGCCAGACCGCGGAGAGGGCCATTGACGGAATAATCGACGGTTATCCAGGAACAGCAACCAAAGAATGGGCAACGGTGGGTGGCAAAGTCGGGAGCACTTTGAGGCTTACATGGGTCAAACCGCAGTCGATCTCCGAGATCTATCTATATGACCGTCCCAATGTCGATGACCAAGTTACTGGCGGCATTCTTCAGTTTGATGATGGAAGTAACACCACTGTTCCTGCACTGGACAATTATGGCAAACCCAACCGGATTCAATTTGAAGCGAAAACCACGCAAAGTCTCGTATTCACAGTAACTTCCGTTAGCCCCTCTACGCGTAATGTTGGTCTGGCCGAGATAGAAGTATACGGGGCTTCATCCGGCTGATTGATTCGTGCGAGCGCGAGGGTAGGTTTGCTCTGTCTTTTCTTCTTGTTCGAAAGCGTAGAGAGGTGCACCTTTGTACATACCGATAGTGTTTTCAACCATCACATTTTCAATGTAGCGAAGCTCTGGAGTACTTCTATATCGCGGATTGAATGGCTTCATGGGCCTATGCAGGGTCTTCTGTTGCAAGTCTGGCCTCGCGGCTCATGGCGAACACCGGGTTTGTCAACGAGTCGGTTCCTAAAGGTTACCACCAATTAGGAGATCAGGATGCCACACGTCGCAATACAAATACAGGTATCATCTATTCGCCAAACAACGATGGCGTGCCTTTTGTCGAAGAACAATCGGGGGCAATGGGAACATCCTATGGGTAAGATCAGTAACTGTTACCCACAAATAACTAATTACTACATATTTTAAAATTATGTATCCTGTTAACTCCGTGGCATAATTTTTTGCCTCCGCACCTTCGAGGCTATGGGTTCGAAATCCGACCGGCACACGCCAGATGTTTTTATTCTCACTCGAATCCATCTCTTTTTCGCTTACTTTTTCACATCAGTATAGAACTCAATCTATATCTCTACGATTTGTTATAAATTTCCGGAGATTTTACCGATATTAATTTTTTCATTGCTAATTTTACGTAGGTCGGTCTCTTGGCCGGAGGAGCCGGAGGAGAGAGAGATATATATTCTGTATCCAAGTTCTCCCGACGACTGAATCATGCTAACCTGGCCTGACCCCGCTGGGATGAATACACACCAGAAATCCCTCAAAACTAGGACGAGCATAAATGCTACCGAGTAATCACGATATAAATGCCAAAGCCAGCGTTGCCAACATCCCGACGCTGTACTCGAAGGCCCTCCAGCAACGGCCGTACAGGTGTCCGTAACATAGATGTGAATTTGTCTATTGGGAGATCTCGAGATAATACTAGATACATCGAGTCATCCTAGACTCTCACAATCGTGAATTTGACTAGACATTCCTTGTTGCGGATGGCATATACAAGAGGGTGGTTGTGCATGGCAGCCGGATATACAAATAACCCTCGACGGATGACGGAGGATGGATAAGTTGATATCGTCATCTCGCTCGGGTTTGGCACCACACCATGGATTAGAAATCCACTCGTCCCCACCCCCCGCTACGGTGTATATCAATCATCTCCGTTGCCTCCGTCTTCCTCGTTTCCTCCCTCCCCTGTGACCCTCTGATCACAATCAAGGAACAACCTCAGAATGACCTCTCCAAAGATCACGTTGTATACCAACCACCGGTGTCCCTGGGCCCACCGTGCGCATATTGCCCTCAAAGAATTGGGACTGGATTACGAGGAAGTCATCATTGACCTGACCAAGCCACGAGAGCCATGGTATCTGGACATCAACCCGGTATGTGTATTGCTACGATGCCTACAACCGGCGAACATTCCCAGCATGCGTATATTGACGGGTAGTCCCCTTGCAGCGCGGTCTTGTCCCCTCCATTACCTACGGTGATCACATCATTACGGAGTCCGCCGTTGTTGCCCAATTCCTGGCCGACGCCCATCCGTCGCACCTCCTCCCTCCATCCAACAGCGAGCACGGTGCCCTCCAACGCGCTCGGATCGCCTTCTTCGTCGACACGTTCTTCAGCAAGGTCCAACCTCACTTCCAGACATCCTTGCGGGCCTCCACCACAGAGGAGCGGGACGCTGCCGGTGAGGCGCTCGTCGCTGCGATCAAATCGGAACTGGAGCATCAATTGCCGGAGGGTTCGGATGGCCAGGGCCCGTTCTTTGGCGGTAGGGAGAAACTGACGTTGGCCGAGGTGCTGACCGGTTCATTCCTTCTGCGCATTCTCTCCTTCCACAGACAGGGTTTGCTGAGTGAGAAGCTCCCGAGCCTGCTGGCGGACACGCCGCGGTTCAAGCGTTGGGCGGAAGCAACGGTGCAGCAGGACAGTGTCAATTATATCTGGGACGAGCAGGTGTCGGCTGATGCGATCAAAGCCAAATTGGCGGCACTTGCGAAGAAGTGAACATGGGGAACGTGTCTATAAATTACCCCCCGGAGAGAATGAATGAATGAATGAATGCAAGAAAAGAAGTAAATTGGAGTAGTAAAGTCAGTCCGGTGACCATTGCCGCCTTCCGGCAACTCGGAATGTAAACTATGCCAACAGTGCAAATGATGCAAACCATTGGCATGCCTGCCTGGGGCAACCAACCCATCAGCCTCTCATCGACATGGCATCCCCAGATCCTTGTCGACTCAGATCCCCACCCTGGAATCCACTTTAGGTTGGTGGAAGTCGTGATACCATGATGCACAATCGAGGATCCGGCTTAGCTGGGTGGTCAGGGTGCAAATGACGAGGAATTTGACGCCGCTCGCAACCTAACACGGGAGGGATGGACTGTACGTCCAACTCACACCGAAGTAGAGTAGTGTCGCCACTGGCGATCGGCTGTTCTGGATAGCTCGCAGAGACGTGATTGATGCGGGACATCCGGGTCAACATGAAAAATCAGAGTTAGAGGGTACTTGCAAGCTATCCGGACGACGGTGATTCGTACACTTCCAGAGCCCAGTGTCCCAATATCAACGGGACAGGGAATGCGTTCCAGCGAAATGGATTATATGGAACGATTGCGAGGGGCATATGCCATGCATTGGTGGTATTTGTGTGTGCAGGACTCGCACTGCACCCTCAGGATTCATGTAAGCCGGGTGAGGGCTACAGTGACAGCATGCAGCATCGAGTAAAGATACACAGAACATAACCTTGAACGACAACATTGTCCGCAGACGCACCCTGTCGATCCATAAATAGACAAATCCACACAGTCAATTGAGTCACAGCGTCAGATTGTCCGCACTAGTGGTTATTTTGCCAAGCCCGCTATTTATTGTCAATGCGTGCGGGGTGTGGGGATTGTCCTCTTGCTTGCGAGCCATTGCGCCTGTACGTTAGCGACCGTCTAAAGGAATCATTCCAGGGCACTCGACACGGAAGTTGTGTACATCCCTTTTAAAGCTTGGACATCATGGGGATTATCGCAGTCGCAGGGGGAACCGGCAGTGTCGGCCAGACCATCGTGGAAGCCCTTGTGGCGCATGGCAAGCACAATGTTCTCATCCTCACGCGCAAGGTGAGTCGGTATCCTATGGGTTACGGTCGCTGGGGGGTGTTTGCGATATAGTCTGATACGTTCAGTACAACGGAAGCCGCCCAACCTCGTCAACCAGCTCACCTACTTAGCGGTAGACTACGATGATGTTGGCGCTACAGCAAAGACTCTCGAGGCCGCGGAGGTCGACACTGTCATTTGTGCGTTCGGCATAGAATCCGATGCCGTCAGTGAGGCCCAGGTCAATCTTATCCGTGCGGCAGACATGTCGGGGTCGACGAAGCGCTTTGTCGTGAGTGGATACGATATGTTGTTTAAGGAGGAGTATGTCGATGGTCATTTACTTTGATGAGAAATGAAGGCGGCTGACAGCAACTTGAGGCACATCCCCATGATACCTACTGCAAAGTGGGCCTTGGCGGCGACTCGTGCGGCAGAGGAATCGAGTCTCGAATATACCCGAGTGGTCAACGGGCTATTCCTGGATTACTATGGTCTTCCGCACTGGCGAAGCCATCTAAAGCCATGGGTCAATGCTGTCAACGTGGCCAGGAAATGGGCAGTTCTTCCGGGCGATGGGACCACCAAGATGAATTTCATCACTTCCCAAGACATGGCACGGTTTGTGGCAAGACTCATGGACTTAGCCAAGTGGTCACCCGTGAGTTTTATCGCCGGTCAGACGGCATCCTTCAAGGATATTCTTCAATTGGCGGAACGAGCCCGAGGTATGATACTCAGAAAGCGGTGGATGAGAACTCTGACTTACCCGTGCAACAGGTGAACGCTTTTCCGTCAAAAACGAGAGCCTCGACGACCTTCGAAACGGCCGAATATCTTTCCCCGAATTCGAGGAAACTGGACTCGAAAGTACTGGACAGTCAACGGAGCACATTCTCGCATTATTTCACTTTATATCTGGCACTGGGGGATACACTATTTCCAGCGATGATCTTTTGGACACTCAATTTCCCGACATCAAGATTACGACAGCGGCGGAAGTCATTGAATCTTCATGGCGCCACCGGTGATCAACATTGGCTTTTAGCTCCTTCGGACGATAGGCTCTGCACGTTTTCTTTGTCCTTTATGACTTGTGTGTGACCAAAGAGGCAATTCCTGGCTATGCGCTTCGATCCCCATCGGCAGCTGAATCAACACTGAAGGCAGGTGTCCTGGTTTTCAAAGTGGATATGGGCCACTCGTAGATAGTCTTAATGGGAACTCTTTCCTATAGCACCACCAGGTCCTTTTCCATCCTCTTCCAACACCTCGTATTTTTTTGCTTGTACTTCTCCTGTTGTAGTGCATTGTTTGTGTTCGGACTGGCCGAAGAACCAATGTATGTATAGGAAAGCCGGTGATGCAACTCCATTCTGGAATCATTCGGAGGTCCTAACGCTTCAGCAAGAGCAAGCCTTTGCTCTGCGATGCTGGTGTAGTTGCCGACGATTCTCAGTCAAATAATATCTGAATTAAGGAATCCAAAAGATTGCGAAGTGATTCAACTGCTGAACTAGCCTGAACAGAAAACTACTAACAGGGACACTATAAACATGACGAATACAGACCAGGCCTCCTATATGTGCAACCCGCGGACAGAGACCTGAAAGTCGATTCACCATTTTCAGTTGTTGCTCCTTTGGACTTGTAGACTATCCCATCTTTTTCCGAGCGTTCGTCGCATTTGCTATCTTCCATTGCCGACAGGTAGTTGCTGTTGGCATGGTCTTCTACCACTTGCTCACTGGTGATTCCGTCTATCTTATCTATGGCTCTCATACATCACTTGTCCTAGGCGGGTTGTCTTCATAACTTGACTTCTTGCCTTCAGTATCACTATCAGTCGTTGGTCGGATTTGCCCTTCGCCATTACTCATCCTGTTTTGTTATTGGTCGTTATTGGCAGTACTGATAGTCATGCGCACAGGCGCCTACGCCAGCTCCAATACGGACGCCCTGCTTTTGCTTGACAGCTAAAAACTTGGCCTGGCGCTCAGTATTGCAATCGCGTGTCATTGGTACATTCGGTCCGAATATAAAATGGCGAGGCAGCGTATGATTAAACTCGGTCTTGGTTCTGGCTAAACCAACTCTTGGTTCCCGAATACCTTTAGTGCAAGTCCCCGCTTGGCCATCTCGGTCTTCCATATAAAATGGAACTTTTGATTAGTATCCGAGTCAGTCTACCAATTGCGGCTTGCATCAAGTCGTATGACAGGCAGCGATCTCCACACAATATATGGACTCATTCTTCATCCGTCGTACATGACGCTTCATTTAGATGGTCGACAGCCGTTTGCAGTGAATTGACTCTTCTTCCGAGACTTCCGGGAGAATGACTTGAACGTCTATCACAGATTAGGTGTACTCAGCCATGGAACTGAACAAGCTTAGCATCTGACACAGACTTATGTCCTATATCTTTTGGCATCTGGTCTAGAAAGGTACTGACAGGTATACTAGATAGGGAAGTTACTGATAGACAAAAACATAGGACATTACATCATGACTATATTTCGTCGAGGTCATACTGACCATCTGTAGAATCCTTTGCGCATAGATGAAAAGACGTAAATAGTTGGGGTGGGGTTAATAGAGGTTTGGTGATGGCTAAACTTCCGAGGACCGTCCTTGCTTCATGAATCTTGACCTATATTATTTATTTCACACGCATTGATAACATGAAGTATTCGATGCTCTCAATCGCGGCCATTGTCGCCCCTGCCCTGGGAAATCCAGCCTACTTCTGGCGACAGTATGTCCCTCATCGAATCCATCCTGCTAATGCTGGTACCATCGACATCACGAACTATGTCCCAATCAATGTGCACGTGGATGTAGAACCACAGGGATATCAGTACACTGTTGTACCTGGGGGGCAGCAATCGGTTCCAGGTGCACCAGTCGCGGACGTGAAATTTAACGGTCAAGTAGAAGTGAGCTATGTTTCCGGTGATCAAGGCACGTTTAACTATGTCATCAATCCAATTGGGGGTGGTTTCCCTGGATGTGTCAATGTTTCACCCAACGGATGTGGTTCTTTGACCTGGTGTCCTGGAGAACCTCCGACAAACCCAGTGACCTGCCCTGCTGGTACTGAGCTCCCTGTAACCTTGTATTCACCTAGGTATGTTTCTCGAAGTCAGCAACCTCCAGCCTCCGCTGACTTTAGGCTTGCTAGCTATATGTGGAGGGAACGTGAATTCCTGCTGTAATTAAAAAAAAAAGAAGAAAAAAGGGCAAGGAAAAGAAACAAACAAGGACGAACCAAAAAAGAACGGGGCAATAATGTGGACAGCTATTCAACTAGCTATCTCGTGAGGGTGATTGTATTCAACACATCACCAGGTGGTTGTCTCGACACGGCTGCGAATGACTTACCTTATATTTAACAGTCTTGATTATTTAGCAGTATTGATAATTGGATGATGTTCCGGTAGTATTGCCCAAGACACTATCGTAAACTCTCCTTTCTGGTATCTTCTTAGCCGAGTAAGCAGCCCTACATACAACAAGACCAATAGTGATGCGTTGGGGGTAGACCATAGCATTTTAGGAATATCTAGGGGTTAGTGATATCTATTCGGGGTGTTTTCAGAGTGAAACAGGCTGTACCCTAGTTTAGGGTCGAACTTCCCTTCTCAAGAATATGATACATAGCTACGGGCTATGGAGACCCGAGGCCTGAAAATGATAAACTAGCGTTCACTTTTAGTTACTCATCATATCAACTATCTACTCATTCAATACTAAACATCTCCAGACTTCGGCCACCCAAATGATCGTCCGTAATGAATTCGGCAGATTCACCGCTGATGGCGTCCATGATGCAACGAGGGAGAAGCTCATCCTAGTGAAAGAGATGATCATTTGAGAATCCCTGCTTTGAAGGCTCTACATACTCGACAACGCCATCCGTTCCCCAACCGCATTGGCCCACTACTTCTTCTCCTACAAGATGGACCCCACGGCTGTGATGTATATGCCTCTTATTATCTTCTCTGTTCGCCAGCCCTTCATGCGTGTCCCACATAAAGTCGATATAGGTTCTGTTGAGCAATTGGCTACATCCAGAATTATCCAATTTGATGAATACTTCTTTAGATGAGATCGGTTTCGGCCACTCAACACCAAAGGCACATTGAGCTGAGACAAGATCGAGCAATGCTGTGGGGAGACTTGGGAAATGATGCGAGTCAAACCTACCTTCTGTTCCTCTTGAGTCTAGTTACTATTTGTAAGCCTTTTGGATATTCATGGCTCATGTATGAACCGGGGCCGGGAGCCCGAGACGTAAGGAGGTTGTGGAAAGGAAGGGCCGTCTAGTTTTCTAGTGGAAGTAACTGAGTCCATTCAGTGAAATATGATTTGACAAGCGCAGGGCCATAGCATCATTTATATTTCCAAGGATGAGGATCACGAAAAGAACCAGAGCTCCTGTTGCCAAAACCTGGTGTCCCCTCATTTCGGAAATCGAGAGGAATCGCTGTTTTCTGCCTTGGTTCCGTTGCGGAAATCAATTTCCGTCCATACAACATTTAAACCAGCGTAAGGTCTCCCACCAGCATCATGAATAATCATATCCTCATATCCCCCTCGAATCTAAACCGCCGTACCCGGTCCAAGACGAAACATGTTAGGCAATAAATTAGCAATCGGCAGCTTGTCATTAGGCCAGCACCCTTCTCATCTCTTAGACCACAAGGTTAAGGTCGCTGCTTCTCATGGTTTTGCGGGCATTGAGATCGTGTTCTCTGACATTGAAGTGTACGCACGAGAGAAGAACCTTCCCCTGTCAGAGGCAGCCACAGAGATTCAAAGGATATGTGAAACGCACCAGATCGAGATTCTGTCACTGGCTCCATTTGAGAACTTCGAAGGACATAACTCACCTCTCGAGGAAAGGCTCCAACTTGCCACGAAGTGGATCGATATTGCGAGAATACTAAACGCAACGTATCTACAAGTGCCGGCTCAGTATAGCACCGATTGTACTGGGGAAGAGGCAGTGATCGTCCAGGAGCTGCAACAGTTGGCGGATCTGGCCCGTGCTCAGCAGCCGATTATTGCCATTGCCTACGAGCCTATGTCGTGGTCTACACATTGCTCGACATGGCAAAGTGCGCTACACATTGTTAAACGTGTGGATCGACCGAATTTTGGACTTTGTTTAGATACCTTCCACGAGCTCACGAAGCTCTGGGGCAGTCCGTTCGATCCATCGGGCAAGCTGCCCAACGCGGACCGTAATCTGCAAGAATCACTACGTGATTTTCAAGATCACTGCCCGCTAGACAAGATCTTCTATGTGCAACTCTCCGACGGTGAACGGTTCGATCCCCCCTTTTCAACGTCTCACCCGTGGTATCTCGAAGGCGAGGCGCCACAGTTTACATGGTCACGCCATGCTCGGCCATTCCCGCTGGAGACCGAGATGGGTGGATACATGCCAATACCAGAAGTGGCAAAGACCTGGATTGCAGATAAAGGGTTTAATGGCTGGGTGTCTCTAGAGATCTTTGATCGGAGAATGCGGGCGCCTGAGTTTCAACCAGAAACTGCTGCACAGCGCGGCAGTCATTCCTGGCGAAAGCTGCAGGCCGCGCTGCCACCGATTAATAGCCATATTTAGTAGAATGTCGTGCTAGTTTTTCTTCGTTTGGTGAGACATATGTATGAATCTCGCACAGATCATTCATGTATGAGAACATTCTAGCTGACTAGTTAAACTCGTCATCACTTTGTTCAGAAGATAAACCAGGACAGGCTGACAGATGAGGCGATACACTAAACATACTAGGTATCACGGAGTTGTAAGCATCCCCAAGTGTGTGGATGGGGATGAAGGATAACGACAAATGCTCTCCACCAGTTGTGGTCCATCTCCATTCCACTGCCTGGCACAAATGTGACGAGTCCCCCTGCTATTTCGTGATTCTCCACCTTGTCCGCTGAAGAGTAACAAGATGATGGCCTCTGCCAAACAGAAAAGTGTTATATTCGGTTCAACTTAAATGCCAGCCCCTCAAGCACAAGGGCCCAAGAAGCATCTGCTAGTACTTCCCAAAGATAAGTCTTCACTTGCCACCATTCTCCGGTGTAAACCAGGTACTATCTCTTCATCTTGTATGTGTTTTTTCATCCACTTGTGGGGTACGGACCGTCGAGTTTCGGTTCCATTTCGGAGTCTCGAAATCAGGGTTGGGTCTAGACCGCAGGGTAAATTGAACATCGGTCTGATTGCAGGAGAAGCTGCTAAACCTGTAGGAATACTGGATAACATAAAGTATTATTCTAAAACCACGGGGTCTCGGCGTGGTCGCGGGAGTTCCGTATTTCTCTCGGTGGATCCTCGGCATTTCTTGAAATTAAGGGAGCGTATCCTTCGGGCTACTGTTTCACCACCTGTGGGCGTCAAACAACGGTCTCCAGTTCCAGAAAAAAGCACCCGAAGGATCCTTACTGAAAGCTGTCACTTATGATCCAACAAAGAACCGAGAAGGATCGATTTAGATCGGCAAAAATCTAGTTGTCGCGCAACTTTTACCCTGATATTCTGTCTTTAAGGGCCCCCCTCCCCCCCGGCTTGGGATTCTCAGAGGAGGACGAACTTCGCCAGCCAGCTAATCAAACTTCATATTTGCCCCTATACTATTCATCCTCTTCGGACCTCTGCCCGCAAGATAGATCGCACAGTCATGAGGGTCTGTGGCTCCCTCCCACTCTTGGCAGCGGGTATCGAGTTCTCCGGGGAGACTCACCTCTACCCTACAGGTGTAGTCTATCGAACCATTCCCTCGGATTGATTAAACTATTAGCTTGACACACTCTGACGGTTGCCACTGTCTCAGCTATTGCTGCTTGGTCGATGATATCTTGGTACACCGGAAGGGGTTTTGATCCGTGCGGTGATGAGAGTGAAACATCATATCCACCTGTGAAGCGCCTTCAGTAGACGGTAATTGAAATTCGGGATATAGAGCTTAGTAGAGCCTAGCGATAGTGCGCCCATTGGTGGAGTACATTATATGTTTCAGACTGAGAAACCCGGGAGTTCCCCTGCAGGATGGCAAGAAACAGGAATAAGAAACGCCCTGCCTGGCCGACATAGCTTGGTGTACTGCCGATTTGGATATATTACCGTGAGGCCCGTTGCAACAAATGCCCTGACTTACACCAAGGCATTGTCATCCATCCACTCACCATGAGAGGGATTGTCGCTCTTTCTTTGCTCTCTGTGGCGCTGCGCGTCACGGCGGACTTGACCGAATCCAACTTGCACAAATATCCTGAGGTGCTGGCACTCCAGAGTTCTTTTAATCCCATCAAAGAGGCCTACTGGACTGGGTACCCTCACCATCGACGAACGCCATTTGCGGTCTCCCCCGATGGCAAGTCAGCTTACATCGCCTATCTCGACTCGAGCGAAACAGACATTCATGTGCAGCAAGTGGATGTAAATACATTTGAAGCGACTGGGACGTCGGTTACGGTTCCTGGTGGCAAGGAAGGTACGTGATGACTGTATAATGGATCACCATGTGGGGTGCTAACGACGCAGCGTAGCGGGAGGGCTCGTTGCCCATAATGATGGTTTTGCCCTCCTGACGAACGAGGCCATGCCATCGGGAACGACCAATGCACCCCCCAGTGACACGCCAGTCCCCATCCTGTATCGATACACGGATGGTAAACAAACGTGGAAGGCGTGGTTGGGTGGACCTGGTGTCCACGAGACCGACGGCCTCTCCGCATCGCCTGATCTCAATGGCGATCTGGTCTACTCGGAGCAAGCCGGTCTCTATGGCGCCTACTTTGTCATCACCGATTACTCGGGCGATGCAGCAGGACACTACGGTGACAGTATTCAGTACGTGGCAGATAATGGAACCCTGGTCACCATCGCAGGGGCTAGCAGCTCCTGGGGCTGTAGCCATAACACAGGCATCGCTTTTGAGTCGGCCGATGAACCTCCGTTTGCCAGCATCTGCGCGGAAGACCAGGGGGCGATATGGCTGAATACCAGAACGCTGGGCATGTCCAGCGACGGGGTGAAAATGTCCAATGAGAATACTACCAACGGAGCCTCGGGAGAGCCGATGGGGGGCATGTCCGGCAGTTACAGTGCTCTCGCTCGGTTTGCGGACAGCAGTCGGTATATCTTCGCCTGGGTTTCGCGCGGTGCGATGGATCTCACGGAAAACACGTGGATGGGAAGTGGCTACACTCATGCCCTGAATCGCACCAACAATCGGAATGTCGCCATCTCCCTGCTCTCTAATAAAGACACCCTTGTTGGAGAGCAGGCAACCTCGGAAGTCGGCGCCGAAGACGGCGATAAGCAGATCAATTGGCTGACTGAGGGCGCAAACGACTGTTCGAATGCGCATGCAGCGACCTTCGGAAACAACAGCGCACTGGTGACGTGGGAGGAGATCTCAGATCCGATTTGCGACTTTGTGGCTATGGGATGCCGCGGGCAGTTTGCTGGTACCTTCTTTCAACAGGTAGATTCCGACGGAAAACAGGTCGGCAGCCCGTTGAAAAGCACTGATACTTTCGTCGCTGGGGACATGGTGACCATGGCCGATGGTCGGATCTGCTGGCCATATGTGAGCATGGACTGGGATCTCTCGCAGGCTGTATATGCATTGGCTTCTTCTCCCACCACGAAAATGAGTTTTGCCTGCATTGATCTCACGGGAGACTCTTCCTACAATGCAACCTCATCGAGCAATGCCAATCTGTCGACGAGTGCTGCACCCTTGAAGACTGCAATCCCCTCAAATAGTAACTTCATCTCGACGAGCGCTGCTCCATCGCATGTCCCAGTAGTCGGAGACAGCTGTGTTGCAACTGCCTGAGTCTGCTATGCCGCTGGTGCTGCATCGATATCGCTCAACTGTGAGATCAGAGAACACCTTCTGGTGGAAGACCTCGAATTTCTGTGAATGGTTCTCAATTTCTGGAAAATATGATCGTGATCCGTCCGTCTGTTCCCTCTTGGCTTCTTGTCTTTCATTGTCAACATTGGTTAGATTAGAGGCCTGTCTGTTTTCTCAGCGACGTACGCAATTTGTGCTTCTAAGCAATATGTATATGACATCCTTCCGTATACCTATACCTTACGGCGAGTCAACGTGAGGATTAGCTGATTGCCTCCCTCCATTGGCTTATCAAGTCCAACAAGCCTTAGGTAGTAAATGATTTGCCATTGGTAGGACTGGAGATCCACCGTTATTGATCCCTGTCTCTTTGGACTAATAAAACACGGCAAAAAGAAATAGTTAGTTAGGGCAGGGCGTGATTTGTAACTGGAGGAACCGACGACTAAGAAACGAACCGACTAAAATGCGACCAGGATCCTGTGCCTATTTTTATTCTTTTTTTATTATTTTTTTTTCGTCTACGTCAATTCCTCTTTTTCTCTGTATTTTTCACTGTCCATTAATTTTCTACTCTGTACCAACCCATTAACCATGTTTCTGCTGCTACTCGAAACCCTAGCCCTGGCCTATGTGGCCTGGAGTTTGGTAGCTATGGAGATCAACTACCGCCGCGCGTGCACGATGAGGATTCCTCTCGTGCGGCTCTGGATCGACCCACAGAATCTCATTTGGATCATTATGGAGCCCCATCTCTGGCCCTGGCTCGATCGACTGCCCATCAACTGGGGTAATTTTGGTCGCTACTCTCGTCGTGGATGGTACTTTGCCGATCGAGGGGAGTCGCATCGCCGCTACGGTCCGATCTGGGCGCTGGTCACTCCCAAGGAAATTTACATCAATGTCGCCGATTCAGAAGCAATCCATGACATCTTCCGACGGCGGACAGATTTTATCCGCCCAGTGGAACAGTACAGTATGTCTTCTATCGACCATGGTGTATCCATAACCCTGGTACCTAATCATTGTACGGCATTGCAGCGGTACTTGAAGTCTATGGACCATGTATCTCCACAGCCAATACAACCGACTGGCCACGCCATCGAAAAGTGCTTGCTACTCCCTTCAACGAGAGTGCTATGTCCTTTGTATGGGATGAAAGCGTTGAGCAGAGTCGCCAGATGCTTGACATCTGGGCCTCTCCAGACCTCGAGAAGATCTCCAGCGTCGCGAGGGATACCCGCACACTCTCGTTGAATGTCCTCGCTGCTATAGGATTTCGGAAATCGTATCCTTTTCAGAGTGCTGGTGAGAGCTGCTACCGGACAGAAGGTGACTCTGGAAGCTATCGGGATGCGCTGCAAACCGTGCTCGATAATGCCATCTTGTTGATGATTATGCCGCGGTGATTCCTCTCTCTTTCATTTGCCCCGGAATCGTGGAATCGGTTGGCCAAAGCCGCGACGGACTTTCAGCAGCACATGGTACGTATGCTGGACGAGGAGGTACAGGCGTTGAACAACGGCCAGGCTGGCTCGGGTGGTCTAATGACGTCGTTTGTGCGCGCCATGAATCTCAAGCAGCACGACGCAGGGGGTAAAACCAAGGGTGTGCCGCTACAAGGACTGACTATCGACGAGATATTCGGCAACATCTTTGTAATCAACTTCGCGGGACATGATACAACGGCTAATACGCTGAGTTTTGCCTTCCTTCTCTTGGCCGCGTACCCTGAGGTGCAAGACTGGGTTGCCGAGGAGCTCCTGTTGACGGACATCAGGGGTCGATATGCTGACCTTTTCCCCAAGCTCAGTCGCTGTCGAGCTATCATGGTATGGCCACCTTTTTTTGATCGAAAGAAGTATATTTGAATGCTCATCCGGACAGCTTGAAACCCTCCGTCTCTACCCCCCGATCCCCTCCCTACCCAAATGGACCAACGGCCAGCCCCAACCACTGAAAGTGGGCGAGAAAACTATAATCATCCCACCAAAAGTAGGAATCAATCCCAGCCTTCTCACGATGCACATCGATCCTCAACACTGGGAAGATCCTCTGGAATGGAAACCTTCACGATGGATCGCACCCACCAAGTTGGACACAGCGATTTCGATTGGGAGGGAACAGCTTATCACTCCAGTACAGTACATATACTTCCCCTGGTCAGATAGACCACAGAACTGTCCAAGTAATAAATTCTTATAAATAGAGTTTATAGTGGTCATTGCAAGTCTTCTTCAGAATTACCGGATCAGTTCTGTTATAAATATAAGAGAGACAGTTCAGCAGATACACAAGAGAATTCTGGCTACTACAAGAGATATTGATCTGTAACTATTTCTATAGATAAAAAATACAGAGTAGATATACTTGAAATATCGGCAGATCTAGAAAATAACTTACTATTTTTTTATTATATAGAGAAATCTATACTATTATAGAGACAATAGAATATTTACTTTATAGTTAAATAATCTTATAGACAGTAAACTCTGTCTCTTCTATAATATATTCTCTGTAACTAGCTATATAAATTATATAACTTACCCGGGCTATATAAATAATTATAGTTAATATATTAAAGTTTTTCTTGTAAACCTGCTTTGTAACAACTTAAAGTAAAGATAAATTATAATAAAAATAATATTAATTCTTATATATATCCTTACAAGTAGTAAGGACCGCGCCTTGTACAGCCTATATACAGTCAATTACAGATAACTAAATTCCTGGCAGGTAAATAGAAATCCTGCTTACCAGTTATTACTATAACTTTAAAAAAATTAGAAAAATAAAATACAGGATCTTCTTCTCTATCTATAAAATATATTAAGTAGTCTCCTAGATATTACTATAGAATATAAAATAGATAATATATCTATATAGTATTTTAAATAATCTTTTTCTACCTATAGATCTTAGGATCCGAAGCTCTGGAACAATATACTGGTTATACTATAGTTAGATATCAGATATTATTATTATTTTGTAGTTAAGAAAGCTAGTCAAGTAAAGATAGATAATTATCCTTTAAAATAAAAATAGTAGAGGATCTCTTCTTTTTTTTCTTATACTTACTATCAGATAAAGAATTCTTAGTAGATTATTTATTTAATACAATAAAGGACAGCTCTATAAAGAATATAAAAGAAATAAATACAGTAGATACTAAACTTATCAGTATTAATAATAAAGACAGAGTATCTAAAATAATATTAGTATAAGATTACAGTAGAATATTTAATACTATACTAATAATAGATAGATTTACTGAATTACTTACTTAGAATAAAATAGATATCAAAAAATTAAACTGAATCTAATAAAAAAATAAGTTCTATAAGCTATTTTTCTCTATAATACAGAGATAGTAATAACTATTTAGAGTAGAGAATATAGTAGCTATTATATTTATATTACAGAATAATAGAAAATAGAAAATATTTAGCAGATTTTTATAGATAATATAGTAATTTTTCTAGAGATAAAAATTAATAAAATAATAAAATATCTAGATAAAGTATCTAACTATAAAAAAATAAATATAGATCTAGTATAGAGTTCCAGAGATTATATAAATAATATAAAATATATTATATATTATTATTCTATTTTTCTGACCTATATAAGATACTATCTTGAGAATAAATATATACTGTCTATCAGAGTTGATATAATAGTCTACAATATTATTTATAATTGACAGATACAGATTATAAATAGAGAGTAAAGAGTTAAAATAGCTATTACTCTTTATATTATTAGAAAATCTAATAATAATTAGTATAGAATATAGAGTAAAGATTATAATATTTACAGTATTATTATATCTATATAGATTTATAGAGTAGAAAATCTAACCGAGATT